CCACTACACGCGCTGTAAGCTCTTGCACGGCGCCCGCAAGTTCCTCGTTTGACTTCACCTGCCATAGCCCCCGCGCTATGTTCGCTGCGTATTCCGAATCATACCGAATGTGCACGGGTACGTGGCCTCCGTCTGGTGCTTCATCCAAAAGCCACTTCATGAGTTCGCCAATAGCCGATAATTCCGCCGTATTATTAATTTGGCCCCTAGCTCCAAACCATCGGTGATCCCACGCTCGACTCATGAAGCACGTAGTCCGGGACCATACCTGGAAGGCTCGGATCCGTAACCCGCCAGATCACTACCCCCCAGCCCGCCTCCCCGTCCTTGCCCGACCCGTCGGTCGCTACCCACCAAGCAGCCGGCTCCGGTGCGTGCGGTCCCATGACAACTGGCAGGTATACCCCGTCCCGTGTCTGGAGGGCGTCCCGGAGCTCCAGCCTGGCCGGACAGGAAGGCTTGTGCCTCCGAACATCACATCCCAGGTATTCCTTGCAATCCGGACACCGGTGGGAGATGCTCGTGGCCAGGTGGGGATCCCGCACCGAGTGTGCCTCATCATAGTGGTACTGCAGCTGGTTGCCCTTGTCGAACACCCGTCGGCACACCAGGCAGCAGTACTCGTCGTCGTCCGCCAGAGGGGGAGAGGGAGGGGCCGGGGGAGGGGGAGGAAAAGGGGGAGGGGGAGGAGGAGGCGGAGGAGGGCCCCCGGGGGCCCCGGCCCTGGCGGGCGGCGACGGGAGGGGCCGACCCGGCGTCCATCTGTTGAGGGCGCGGTTGTGCTCATCGCTGGAGACACCCGCCGGAAAAGCTGCATCCACTTTGCGCTTCCAGCCCTTCCTATTTTAAGCCCGGCGGAACCAATCGATCTCGTGGATCTCAATCCGACGAATGCCCTTCCGAAGGAAAACGGTCTGGGCGCGAGGGCTGCTGTGGTCCTCACCGCCACGTCTGGCGTCCAACCGGCCAAATAATACCTGCTTCGGGACCCGCCACACGGGCACGCGGGCAACATGTCCCAGCCACTGGAGAGATAAGCGGGTGATCGTGTCTTCCACCGTGCGCCATTGCGCGGCCTTGTACATGGCGGCATCCGAAATGCGGCGCTCCCGCGTCGAAAAACGAGCGGCGGACCACTCTCTGAAGACGCGCGAAATCCTGGCGAGCCCATGTGCGAGAACGACACCCTGCAGTGATGGCCGCGACCATGCACGTTTGCATCACGTGCAACCTCGTCGTAATTGACACGCCGCTTCCGCGGCCGCGACCGTGGGACGTGCCCACCGCCCAGGCCTTCGCTATTGATCGCGCCAGTGTGTTGCCAACCTGCACCCTCTTAGTCGCGCCCGCCGCCCAACGGCCCGTCTCGTGGTGAATGCCCCCCAAGTGGCGCAGGGACTGAACCTCGTGCTGCCGCCGCACATCATAAGGAGCTCTCCATTTGCCGCTTACCAAAAGCCTCTCCTTTTTTCCTGGGTTGCTTTTCTCTTCCCAATCGGTCATTGTTTTTTCCAGCAACGGCTCTGCGGTCTGCATCTCCCCTAAGAACCCAGCCAGCGTCGTATCATCCGCGAAACCTATGTCTCCGATTGCCGTGTGCTTCTTTCTATTCGCCCAGCCTCCCCCCCCTCGTCCCTGCCCCCTAGTCCGCGCGCTCTTCCCGAGCCGCCCATCAATCAGGTACGTCCAAGGCACTCCCGGCGTGGCTCCTGCCTCCTCAGCCGCCCGTTTCCGCCAGCCTCGGAAATCCTTTAGTACTGCGTCGTGATAAATATTGAACAAGGGGGAGCTCGAAGGGCACCCCTCCCGGAGCCCCCGCGCGGGGAACCACGTGGAGGACAGGCCGCCTAGCACGCGCACTCGGTATCCCGTATGCTCGTGTAAGGCTCTGCAGACGTTCAAGAATCCCGGGGGGCATCCACGGTGACCCATCAGCCGCCACAGCGCCGGGCGGCACACCCTAGGGTATGCCTTCTCAATGTCGAAGAACGCGAATGCCACTATATCGCCCGTTCGCAAGGCCGCGGCTTCCTCAATTAACCGGCGCGTAACTTGCAGCGCATCATCTGTCCCTCTGCCCCGGCGGAATCCCGATTGCTCCTCCCCTATAAATCCTTCTGGCCATTGGGAGAGGCGAAAAGCCACAATTCGAGCTAATAGTTTGGACCCGACTGACAGCAGGGTTATCCCGCGCCACGCATTCTTGTCTTTGCGATTGCCTTTGTTTTTCCACAGGGGGACGACAAGGCCCACTTGCCATTCTTCCGGCCACGTTGTGCCCTCCTCCCCAGGGTCTGCCTGGACTGCCCTAGTCCACATAGCGCGGACGATCTCAAAGACTCGGCTGCGCAACTCTGCGCCCCCGAATTTAAGTGCCTCCGCCACAAATCCGTCATCTCCCGGCTGGCGGCCAGTTTGCATTTTGCGCACACATGCATCGAGTTCTATATCAGTGGGAGGGGAGTCAAGCCACTCCGCCGAGACGGGGACTGCTTGTACCGATCGCCATACGTGCTCTGCCACTATACCCACATCCCCCGAAATAGCTTCAAAGTGAGCTCTCCAAAGCTCCCTCTCATGCTCCGCCCGCTCCGTTGTCCAGCGGCCAGAGTCCCCTCGGTCGCCTCGCCGGAGGCGCAGGTCACGGAAGAGCCGAAACAACTCGCCCTGATCCCCGCTATGGGAGGCAGCGGAGGCCCGTTCGCCGACAACTTTCCAGTACGCCCGCTCCCACTGCCGGAGCTGCCTCCGACGGTCACGGTTCGCCTTGCGCTTGGCCACAAGTGTCCTTTCCCGCTCTCCTTCCGGTGCACTTCTCCACGCGGAAACCGCCTCAGACACCGCGGCGTCCAGCGCCTTCTTCTCCGACTCATGCCCCTGCAGCCAAGGGATTTGGTGTCGCCGCTCCCGTGGACCGAGGACCTCAAGCCCCGCCTCCCTTGCGACCCGGCAGATTTCCTTCCAGTCAGCCTGCGTCTCTAAATTCCTCAACATCTGCGTCATCCTGGCTGCAAACTGGTCTCTTTTTGTCTGAGCACTTTCGGAGGGCCCCAGCAGGCCCGCGTAGTTGGGGGTGGGGGGCCTAGTGTTGGGGCCCCGGCGCGGGGCCGGCCAGCGCCCCTGCAGGCGCACCCCCACCTCGACCGGGTCGTGGTCGGTGCACGACGCCCACGCGATGACCCCGTCCTCCCTGACTGTCGGTGCCGCGGTCCGGTTGCGCCGTCTGCGTCGTCTTCGCGATGGTCTTTGCTGCAGCGACGCGGTCCCCCCTCAGCACCAAAGTGCAGGGACTTGCAATCCGCGAAGTGACGCCGATCGCGCGGCCGGACCAAAACATGGTCAAGTTGGTGCCCCGTCCTGAAACGCGGGTGCCACCAAGTGGCTGGTTCTCGTTGCGCATACGCCGTGCTCAGCACAAAGAGCGGCACCGACGAGCATAGGGAGAGCAGGTCGGAGCCGGTCGCACTCCGGCGGGCCGTGCCGTGGGACCCAATAACTTGAGACAAATCCTCCTCCTCCTCCTCCTCCTCCTCCTCCTCCTCCCCCCCTCCTCCCGGGCGCCCAACTTCAGCATTGAAGTCCCCTCCAACGATGAGTAAGTTGTTGTGCGCTCGCACACGTGATTCCACGTGCCGCAATTCCTCGTTGAAGGCGTCTCTGGCTTCCTCACTGGCGGTGCCCAAGACGGGGGCGTAACAAGCAACCAAGGAGAGTCCACGACGTTGGCCCTCCCGGGGCAACACAACCCCCACCCATGACCCGCACCCCCTTCCTATCCCACTTCCCCCTAACGAGTACCCTCGATCCTCCCTCCCTCCATAATGCCGTAAGGCGTTGATTCAGCACCACACACACTTTGTCCCGAATGACAAATGTCCATGCCTCTGTCCCAACATCATACTCCCGGACGCCATTCTGATAAAAATTGACGTCCGTGAACATGCCAAACTCCCACCTACGAGCTTCCATCAGTTGCAAAAAGCACTCAAGCTTGAGTTGCGATGGCTTAACCCACGACTCGATCCAAGTTTGCGCGTGTTCCAGGTTCCTCCCCGGAGGAAGATCTCCTCCGAGCCTTTACGCACGCGTTTCGCTCGAGACTTCCTCAACAGAGACAAGCGATAGAAAGCACGACACCGTTTCGCTGGAGACTTCATCGCCTTCTGAACCGTCTTCCATCTCCTGATGCGCACCAATCGTCTCTGACACCTGGTCGGCCGGTCCGTGTTCTGAGGGCCCTATAGGAGCTCCATCCGACGACGCGTGTCCGAAGGCGCCCTGTGCGACTCGCCGGGGCCAGAGGCGCAGCCGCCTGCCCTCTCGGAGCGCGAGGCAGGGGAAAGGCCCGAGGACCCAACCGCCCCCGCCGTCGATTCGCCCCGGAGGGGTTGTGCACTCCCGCTCCCAATCCAAGCCGAGACCACGGAAGAAGACCCGTACGACGCCCACCCAGAGGCACCACGAAGCGCACCCACCAGATCTTCTCCCCCAGAAGCGCCAGTGGGGGCACCCCTAAAGGGGTTGGGGTTAGCCACGTCCATAGCTTTACAATGGAAGACCGTGGATAGAAACACTATGCACACTACCAGGGGGGACACACAACCACTACACACACCAACACACACGCACAAACGCACACAACCATCCCTTTCAACTTACCCGAGACGTGCGTAATCCTGCAAGGCGGCTTTCAATGGGACCGCGCTACGTCCAGGCATTTTGCTTGATAAACACATGTGAACGATGCTAAGGCGAGAACCACATCTTGAAAACGGAAAACCCTCTATCCTCGCAACTTGTTGAAAGGTTTCGAAACGAATGCGCACGGCGCTGGAGCGAGATGATCGTTCTGAAAACGACACGTCCCCCATCCTTGCCTCCATCCGTGTACCTGTTGGAAATTTCAAGCTTCAGGGTCATGAGCGGCGAGGACGCGTCAGGGGGAAAAACCTGGCACGCCCTGCCGACACGTGTGCTGGCGCGACGAGCGCGAGTCATTTCTGGAGGTTACCTGGGGACACCTCGGGCCAGAGGCGCCTTTTCTCCAGTATCACGATCGCCAGATAGAGAATGCGCCAACCAGTTGGAGACCACTACCCGGACTGGACTGGAAGAAGCCGCGCCTACACGGCGCATCAGCAGAAAATGGCGCAAGAACGGATATCACAAAAAATTAGGATGACCTGACCGCTAAGTGCATGCGCGGTTGCAATACATCGGCGGGTAACCTGCAAGGGGAGACCACTACGGCGCCCCGGCAACCCTCGCCGCCCTCACCGCAACGCGCAGGCGGTCTGCCCAGCATTTCCGTTAGCCCAACACTGGCAAGCACCGCTTTTCACCATCGTTGTCCCAGCAAACATTAAGAACGGCGACGCCGTGAAGCAGCCTATGAAAGTAAACGCGCAGAGCAAAAAAGCGACGCCCACGGCGGCGGCACCTCCTGCCATGGACCCAATCTGTCCACCGGTGCACCTCGCCCTGCGCCGCCTGCGCCGCCTGCTTCCCTTCTGCGTGAGCGCGCCATCCATCCCCTTGGCCAACGAAGCTTTGCGTAACTGCGCCTCTAGGCGCCTCTCGAGGGAAGCCGGCATCTCCTGCGATTGGAGCACCTCGACCATCTCTTCACGGCTCACCCAGACGATCTCCGTCCCAGAAGGGATCTCGAAGGCCAGGGTGTGACCAACAGGTGCCTCGCTGTCGAAGTCGAAGGCCATGCCCATGAACGTGTTTGGGCTTTGCGCTGAAACTGCGAACGTGTTATTCTCAACCTGGTACGACGCGGTGCTGTTCCCCATGGACTCCACGCGCTCACTATCATGAGGGCATTGCTCAGTAACATTGTCAGTGTCCTCCACGAAAAACATCTTCAGCATCACAGGGTTCGCTGTTCTGCGATATTCCGCTGGTACGTCCATCAACATTGCAGGAGCATCGTCGGTGCCAGCACCCATAAACGTCACGATTTCTGGCATGTCGACTGCAGCATCTGGGTCAGGGGTTAAGACTGTCTTGATGATATTCCCACGATACTCCACTGTGGCCGTCACGTTCAAACCTCCATGCCCTGTGTAATAACATATGTTGCCGTTGGGGCAAGGCAGCAAGCCCCCTTGATAGCTGCATCCATTCTTGGCCAGCTGACTAGAATACTTGCGCCACGTCTCGGCCGCACGGGCATGGAGCTCGGACTCCGACGCGGCGTGTTAGTCCATGAGGTACTGAAGGTCTAACATGCCACTGCGACTCTCGACTTCTTCCGCTCCAGCACCATAACCAGCACGCTTGAGCAGGGCCTCATCTGCGGCATTCTCCAGCGTCAAAGCATGCAGTTGCAGGGCTAAGTTAGCAAACAGAAAAAGGTGACCGATAGCCTTGAACGCCATGGGTTTACCTTATTACGTATGTGTGCGGTACTGCAAATAGCTTGATGCGATTTGTGCGATCTGAAAGGCTTGAGCCAAAGTGTCTCTGGTTGAACGAAGGGCTCATTTGACAACATCCGAGATGTGTAGCGCTCCAGCGCGCTCTGGTCGGCGTCTTATGTCGTGCTCGTACAATGTTCGAAGCTCCTGGAGGGTACCCTGCCTCGGGATGCGTTCCAAGAGTTGCGCCTCACCGAGATCGTGCAGGGGGTGTCCGAACCGTCACGAGCGGCCGCCCACAGAGCCGAGTGACCCTTCGCCTGGGTGACTTTCGCGCGCGGCTGTCGTGGGGCGCAAAGGGGGGCACACCCAAGCGCGCACACCGCTACTGTCGCACCGCACGCAGCGAACGGCAAAGCGCGCTTCAACGGTCACTTGCGCCTTGGGTATCTCTTGTGCGCAACTCATTCGCAAGGGCCGCTATGGTCGCCCTTCGCGCTGCGCGAAACGCGAATCATGTCGCGCTCTGGCGCCGCGCTCTGGGAGGAGAAGACGAGGACGAAGAGGACGAGGGGAATCGTGAGTCGCGGGCCACGAAAAACATCGCGTCCTCGTGGTGGCTCTTGAATATGGCATGGGGCGATTTCTATGTATCCTACGCCTGCCTGGTGCTCCCCCATATCTCTCACGCCTCTTCCCTGTTCCCTATTCATAAACACCCTTGCTCCAGCCTGTGCTAGAAGATTGTATGCAGAGACATGGGAAGGATTGCTCCAACCTGTGCTAGAATTTCCTCCCCCTCATTCTTCCGGAACTGCCGCCCTAAACTTCTGCCCTGATCGATGTAGGTTTCCTTGAATTGCGTACACTGTCCATGAATTGCGGTGACTTCTTCCACACCCTCCGCGGAGGTCGGAAGACGTCAGACGGTATGGAAGGTGGAGGTAGGCTGTTCCCTGTGGGTCCTGAGGGAGCATATTCCCAGTGGGGGGGGTGGGGTGGTGGGGATCGCGAAGCTCGGCGGCGAGCGAGGAGGGGAAGTGAGAAGGAGAGGGCCTTCTCAGAAGGCGGCGAGATTCTCAGAGCCCCGGCGCCTCCTGAGAAGTGCTCTGTGTCTTCGGGGAAGGCTTAGGTAGCAACTTCTCAAAAGAGCGAGGATTTCTGAGAAACCTCGCCTCCTTTTGCGAAAGCCTGCCGTTCTCACTTCCCCCCTCCCCTCTAGCGCCGTTCTGGTACACGTTTTCTGGCCGGGAGTCCGTGGGCTGGACCAACTTTGTTGTGCTCGATTTAGGACCTCCTTCTCCAGAGGTCAACGCAGGTGATTTCGCCTCTGTCCCTCAGGGTCTCATCTCTTCCTCGCGACAATGTTGGGGGTTGTCCGCTGTGGGCGTGCCGATCGTGCGGTTGCAAGCGCAACAAAAACATCCTGGGTCTGGTGCGAGCACTGCATGACACCGTGGTGGAGTTCGCCGTTGTCCGCCACCTCTGGCAACGCAAGTGCTATTGCTGACGGCCCTCCTGATGCCCACGATCCAGGCCCTCCTCGTAAGCCAGGTCCCCAAGTCGGGCAGGAAGGTGCCAAGGTGCTTCCAGTCGTGCTCGCTGAGGCTAACATCGAGAGTTTGCGGGTTGGTATCACCCTGTTCGAGAAGATTGGGGACACGGCCAAAGCCGCGGCGTGCAACTTCACGTGGATCGAGAGAAGGCTCCCGCCACGGTTCCCGAGCCTCCGCCCCAACACCAAATCAACGACGCTCTCGATCGGGTGCGGGGGATGGGGAGAAGCTCCAAAAGGCAGCGCTCGGATTTTATCGGCTTGCACTGCTCGCTCGCACAGGCCTTTCCCACGCCTCATGCTCTCTTGCTCCTGGCTCGCCCCTCCCCTCTCGCTCCTCCCTCGTGCCTCCTTCTCCCTCCTCCCCCTCCCCCTCCCCCGCCTCCTCCTCCTCCTCCTCCTCCTCCTCCTCCTCCTCCTCCTCCTCCCCCACTCCTTGCTGCTTATGCTTAACTTTTCCCTGTCGCACCCCGAGGCCAGTTTTTAGGGCGAGCCGGACGTTCGCCTGAGACTTCCTTACCACGTATGACTCTGATGCTCAAAAAATTGGCAACAGCTTCACAGATGGCGGGCGGGTGGTTTTTCAAAATGCGGTTCTCGCATTAGCGCCGCGCACATTCGATTCCAACATTTGCAAGAAATTCACGGATCGAAGATAACCCGTTTTGAAAATATGGCTCTCGCTTTAGCGCCGCACGCATTCGTTTTAACAAATGCAAGAGCTTCGCGGATTGAGGATCATCCGTCTTTTCTAATGTGGCTCTCGCTTTATCGCCGCGCACATTCGTTCTAAAAACTGCAAGAGTTTCACGGATTGAGTGCGGTTCCTTTTCAAGCTGTGGCTCTCGCCTCAGCGCCGCGCACATTCGTTCATATTGTTTGCAAGAGTTTCACGGGTTCCCACGATCAACGGACCAGAAATGGTGTTTTGGAAGGATGGAAGATTTTGCGTGTGCAACAGCTAATTTGACTCGCGGTGTTGAAAACCCAAGAATGGCATTATTGCACGATCCAGTATCGCCAAGACGCAACAGTCAGGTTGATCCGTGGCGTTGGAATCCCGAAAACAATGTTTTGGCATGTTTCCGGGACTTCAAACGGTTGTAGGAACCTGTAAAGAGGGAGCCTGGAGGGATGGTAGATTCCAACATCGTTGATGGCTCTTGGGTTTAGACTGGTCCTCCTCCTCCTCCTCCTCCTCCTCCTCCTCCTCCTCCTCCCCCTCCTCCTCCTCCTCCTCCTCCTCCTCATCCTCCTCCTCCTCCTCCCGACGCTCCCGACTCTCCTCCTCCTCCTCCTCCTCCTCCCGCCGCTCCTCCTCCTCCTCCTCCTCCTCCTCCTTCTTCTTCTCCTGCGGTCGGGGACCAAGTTCGCCAAGGTGATGACCTTCAGGGCTCTCAAGAAGATCACGGAGGTTCACTGGCGGCACTCCCATCGCATATGGATCGACGACCTCTCCCAACGCATGCAGGGCTCACGACGGGCAATACGTCGGCACATGGTGCGGTGCCTAACCGACACGTGTGCCGAGCTCGATGCACGGGGGCTCAGCATTGCCAAGAAGAGCGTCATCATCTGCTCGGGTATGGATGACGCCAGGTTCATCGCGGGGGCCATGAAGCGCAGAGGCTACCCCATCCAGTGCAAGAGCCAGGCCAGCTACCTCGGCACCGACCTCGGAGCTGGGATCCGACATGCTCGGGCCAACCGCACGCAACGGCTGGCACGACACGGCCTCATGCACAAGAAGATCGTGCGCCTGGCGCGGGCCACCAGAAGGTACCGTGTCACGGGCCGACTCGCCCAACAGGGCGGACAGGCCGCGGGCGCATACGGTCACCAGATTCACGGAGTTTACGGCACGTCGCTGATGTTGCTCCGACGACGGTTTGGCGACGCAGTTGGCCCTCGCCTACCTGGGCGCTGCCTGACCACTCTTCTCGACCTCAAAACGGAGCAGCGCGACCCTGCTCGACTTTTCCCCGAGAGGCCGTCCAAGAGTGGCTGGGGCACTGGGTGCAGGCAGGGCCGCTACAGAAGACGATCCAATTCACATGGCGCAAGGTTGTCGACAGCTTCCGAGCCATGCCAGCACAGCAACGGGCCAGACATGTACGAGGACCTCAGTCAGCCATCGTCCTCTACTTGCTCGAGAATGGCTGGGACCCTGTACAGCCCAACGAGTGGAGGTTACCAAGGGCCCTCGCCGACGGCACTGACACGAGGGAGTTCAAGACGGAGGCGCTGTCGGGGATCCCAGCTGTGGACATCCCAGAGGCGCTGCTCACCGACCTGGACAACAGCATCCAGGACAGATACTGGCGACAAGCCAGCAAGCATGACGGCGGCGGTGGCATGGAGGGCGGAGTCGACAACCACTCCTACCGACGGCTGCTGAGGTACCCCGAGTCCATGAGGAACGGTGTGCGCCTTGCGACGCTCATGCTGACCATCGCCACAAGGGGCCATGTGGCCCAAGGCCCGTGTTCGGGCCGAGGTCAAGGACGCCGACACCGACGGCTATTGTGGTCGATGCGGCGAGACTGAGGAGACTGAGTTTCATCGGGTGTGGCAGTGCCGATGCCGAGTAGAGTGCCCGATCTACGAGGGTACCGACGATCTCCTCGCAGAGGCCACGGCACAGCAGCACAAGTACGAATGCTACTGGACACGGGGGCTCATCCCACGCAGCTGGACAGCCTTGCCGCCTCCCGTGGCACACGAGTGTTGGGAAGTCCACGGGGCCGATGCGTACGGCCCAGGATGTTTCAATGGGCATGGCGAGCCCACCTATGTTTTCGGCGACGGCAGCGGCGGGGGCGACACATCCAGCGTACCCCTTCGTCGGGTCGGCGTCGGCATCGCAATATTTCATGATCTGGCCAAGAACGGCATGGACATGCAGGGTGCTGCCTGGGGACCTCTCCCAGGCTGCCGACAGACCGTCGTCCGCGGCGAGCTTATGGCGCTGCTGATGGCCCTCACGACTACGACGGGCGACCTGGTCTATTCCACAGACAGCGAGGGTGTGTATCTCAACTACCACAATGGCCATCGTGAGACGCCCAAGGGCGCGGATGCAGACCTGTGGTACCGTGTTCGAGAGGCCGTACGAGAACGGTGTGCAGATGTGATTGTGATGTGCATACGGTCCCACATGACCGAGGCCGACATTTGCTCGGGGAAAATCAGCAGCTCCCTAGCCTACGGCAACACCGTCGCTGATGAACTCGCCGCTGGAGCGGCTCGTGAATGCAGGGTTCCCAAGCACGTTCGCCAAGAGTATGCCCGTGTAGAGCAGAAAGCGTTTTCTGTCCGATTGAGGATCCTTAGGGCTCACATAGACGCTCTTGAGGCCGACAGAGTTGCCCACCCCGAGGGCCTACGACGTAGGAGGCCGAAGCTTAAGGCTCCAGCCCAACCGCCTGCCCCCGCTGTGTGTGCCGTCAGCACTGGCAGTAGGTGTAGCAGGTGTCAGAACTCAGCCTCGCTTGCACGTAGGACTGAATGGCTCGGCATCAGTTGTTATGACCTTGAGAATGTTGATGGCACTTATATGAGACCCCCCCTCGGGAAGCAGGTACATGTGGCGGGGGGATTTGCTAATTTAACCCATCGTTTAAGGCTCCACACTGGGCTGAAATTGTGGTTTTGTTCTCACTGCGGGGTGTACGCCTCCCGACAGATCGGGAAGTTAGCCGTCGCATGTGACACACCCACCGCCACAGGGCGGGAGTACTTGCGTCGTATTGCAATGGGGTCCTGGCCCAAAGCGCTCAGCAAAGCTGAGACTATCCAGAGAATGGGGAAGCAACAGGCACCTCAGTAGGTGCCAGCGGACCTCCATATTCATATCGCTACGCGATCAGGCAGAGTCTCCAGAGTCTCCCCCCATCCTCCTCTTCCTCCTCCTCCTAACTCTTCCTCCCCCGCCTCCTCATCCTCCTCATCCTCCTCCGCCTCCTCCTTTTCATCCTCCTCCTCCTCTCGCCGCGGCGCCTCCTCGATCATGTCGATGGCGGGGCCCGGCAGCTCCAGCATGCTGAATTCAGGGGATGGTTGCAGCTCGTGGAAGCTCGCGGCGCGGGGGAGGGGCCAGGGATGGAGGGGCGGGAGGAGGGGGGGGGAGAGAGGAACGGAGGAGGGGGGAGGGAAGAAGGGGAGCGGAAGGGGGGGGAGCGGCGGGGGGGAGGGGAGGGAAGGAGAGGGGAGGAGGAGGAGGAGGAGGAGGAGGAGGAGGAGGAGGGAGGAGGAGGAGGAGGGAGGAGGAGGGGCGGGGAGGAGAGGAGGGGAACAGATGACCAGGAAGGAGGGTGGAAGAGGGGGGAAGGCGATGAGCATGAGAGAGGCGGAGAAGACCCCGCGCCAACGAGGGAGGGAAGGAGGGGAGGGGGTCAGGGAGGGAAGGAGAAGGTCCGTCCTAGGGCATTTCTGTGGACTTCTGCTGGCACGCATGCTTCTCCAAGGAGGAGTGGGAGAGTGAGACCACCTCTGGTCGAGGGGGCAAATGGGGAGACAGCGAGATGATAGAAAGGCGTTCGAGGAAACCTAGGGCACTGACCCCCCCTTCACCACGTCCTCCTCCTCCTCCTCCTCCTCCCCCTCCTCCTCGTCCTCCTCCTCCTCATCCCTCCCCTCTCCTCCTCCACCTCCTCATCCTCCTCGTCCTCCCCCTCCTCCCCCTCCTCTCTCTCCTCCTTCTCCTCCTCCTCCTGCCGAAGGATGACCTTACACTCACGCAGATGTGTAGGCCGCCAGACGCAGGTCTGAGAGCCGGCGGCTCGGCAGACTGTTGGCGCTGCGCCCTGAGGCACAAAACACCTGACGAATCCACGGGCCAAACGCCGTGCGCCTCGAACCGCACGGCAATAAGTCCTCCTCCTTCCTCTGCAGCGGCAGAATCAATACAACAACACACATCAAGGTCAGCTGCAGCTGCAAACGTGCCCGACCGACACATGACAGGTCGAACACACTCGACACCTCACCTGATTACTCGGACAGCCTCTAGTTTCTCAGAGGAGCGAGCCGCTTCGACTGCATGGCATGGCCGCTGGATGCTCACCCCCTCCTCGCTGACACCCTGTGGAGCTCAGCGCACAGACTGCCCTGATCAACTCGGCATGAATACGACGGGTCCTCAGGGAATGAGCCCTCGTCCCCCGTGGCCGTTCCCCAGGACCACCCCTCCATCAAGAGAGGACCCGGGGAGCCCGAAACTTGCCAGACCCGTTTTCGGCGGATCGAGACATGGGGCCCTGCCTCGTGGGGCCCAAGGGCCAGAAGCTCAAGCTGTGAAGAATCAGCGTGGGATCTACTTACCATCCTTGGGCAGCGGCCTCTAAGATGGAGTCTGAGTAAATGGGGTCGGAGGATCTCGCCGTATGGCCGACGCATCGCCGATATGTCCGCGATGCATCGGCGACGTCGGAGATGCATCGGTGTCGTTTGCGTGAGTAAAGTCTGGCTCCGCATCGAGCCGCATCGCCCATTCATCGGCGATGTGGCGTTATCCTCCGACCCCCAGTTGGGATGGCTGGAATCCCTCAGGGCCCCATCTTTGAACCGCCGACGTCTGTTCCGCGGCGGACAGCCCCAGCAGCCGAGACCCACGCACAAACGCGCCGCGCGCAGGGATGCCATGGGTCGGTGGTTCAAAGATGGGGTCCTGAGGGATGGGGCTCCCAAGGACGAGGTGCCTCAAACAGCGTAAATCCAACCTTGAACCCATCCCTGTCCTTAGGACCTCATCCCGGAGGACCCCATCTTTGAACCATCGCATGGGGGCGGCCGCCAGCCAGCCGCCTGGCGCACGCCATCACGGCCGCGCCAGGGTCGGACGCCTCCTGCCGGCGGGCGCTGCGGGGGAGGTCGGGTCGGCAGAGAGCCACGCAATCGCGGCTCCGAGTGCGCCCGCCCCCCCCTCCGGAGCATCGTTTAACCGATCCCCATCCCCAGCGGCGTGGCCTGGGCCCCACTGGAACATTTGCCCCCCTAGATGGGGATATAGGTCGTTCCCGTAGGGTTTACTGTGGGAGTAATTTGGTGGGGGCCTCGAAGGGGATGGGCATGGGGATGGGGGTCGGTGAAACGATACTGACCTCCACCCACCCCCCGCCGCGAGCGGCGCACATGATCATCCGCCTCCGCGCCCTGGCGGCCTGAATTTCAGGGGCGCGACCCCTACGACATTCGGGAGCATCGACATTGGTACGGAAATAGAGGAAAGATAATTATGCACATACACCGATTCTGGCCAGGACCATCCTGATCCCAGGATCGGTGCATACGCCCTCTTACCATGGCCAGGAAGGTATATGCACTGATCCTGGGTCAAGGATGGGCGCTGTCAGAATCGGTGCATGTACATAGTGTTCTTCGCCCGAAGAAAGAATGGACACAAAATACTGACAGCATATCCTGGTCATGTTGAAGAGATCTCGCTGTCCGCGCCGCCGCGGACGTCGTCCTTTACACGGCGGCCGCTGCCAGTTTTGGACAAATGCTGCTGGGCATCGTACCAATTTTCTTGGCACGTCCAAAGGGATGCGCGGCCGCACGGACGCGTTTCGCCCGGGGCATCCGCGAGAATGACACCCCGTACAGACGGCCCAGAATAACTAGGATGCGCGATGAGGATGCCATGGCCTTGGACGCGCGTCTCGAAGCTTCTCGAGCGGGGCGCGGCCGACGACAGCGCCCGAGGATGGCCATAGGTGCCCTTGGGAGCGCCGCCCATCCTCATCGTGCGGGATGACGGCGTCCGCGCGGAAGGTCGCGGCCTCCAGGGGTCTGAGGCCGCGGCTGCGCACCTGCCTCGCGCGCACGAGGCGGGGGGGGGGGCACGGCCTTCGAGGGCTCGGCCATGGTGGTCGCCCGCCCCCCCCCTTCGGTGGCAACTCCTGGGAGCCTTCCATACCATCTTGTCGGCTCTTGCGAATCGATGCACGTCGACGCGAGTCGACGCCAATCGACGCTAAATCCACGGCAACCGACGCAAATCGGCGCTGTCTCATCGACTTCCGGACGCTAATCGACGCCGATCGACGCAAAAGACGGCATGGCGGTCGCCCCCCCCCCCTGCCCCCCCCTTGAAGCCCCGCCTCCTCAAAGGGGGCGCTGGGCTGGGAGGCCGAGGCGGGGGGTAGAAACAGGACCCGCGAGCGCCGCGTGCTCTCTCCTCTCAAGGGGCCCAGTGGTGCCCAGGGCCCCACAGAAGTATACATATATATATATATATATATATATATATATATATTCACACATCCTAGGATTCCCCATCTTTCCCCTAGTTTTAGGTCGGGCATGTCCCTTGGGCACAAATAGCTCGACTGTAGAGGGACACGCTCGACTTGACCCTACTTTCTGGGTTGTTCGTCTTCTACCCCACTTCCCGCACAGTTGCCCATAGCTACCTGGGAAGCGACGACTGATTCTGTCTGCGTGTTGTCTGTCCCCCTCGGGACCCTCCTCTGGAGGCCGAGGTCGGCGTCACGCGGCGCGCGCAGCTCTACCAGGGGTCCGCCATCGTCTCTGTGCACCAGAGGCCCGTTCCCGCCTCGCCCACGGGTCCTGCCCCACCCTCGCCCCGAGCGCTCGCTCTCCAGCCCGCTCTCGGAGAGCACGGACGGCATCAATGTCAGATGACCGTTCTGGGGACCTTCCTGGAGCCCCCCGCTCCACTCACGTGTCGACGCTACGTCGAACGCCCGTCGACTTCTGAGACGAACTCGAGTTGAGCCAGAGTTGACCTAGTGTCGAACTAAGACCGAAAACAAACGAGCACCCGATCGATGCCACGACAGCCGAACGCCCCCACCAGCGTGCCGCTGCTGGAAGGGGCACCAGGCCCTTGCATCAGCCGCGAACGAGTGACACGCTCAGGCTGAAAGACTTCGAGCGTGTCGCTGATCACCTGCCCTCCCCCCCCGACGTTCGAGGAGGTCACGCGCAGAGGCCGCAGGGGGCGCGCCCGGACCGGCGCCGGCCTTGCGACCAAACAGGTGGCACCTGGCCACGCACCACCCCCGGCGGACTGCGAAGGCCCCGCCTTGCGCATCCCAGCCAGCCCCCCCGTGCTCGGAGGGAGGAAGGGGGCGGCTTGGAGGGAAGGCGGAGGACAGCGAAGCCGCCCAGTCTGCGCCGGAACGGGACCGACACCTCGAGGAGAGCCTGTGCACGCACAAGCGAGGCGGTCTACCCAGATTCATGGCGCCTCTCTTTCCGTGTGTCTTTCTTTCTAGTCCTGCCTCCCCTCCCGGCTTATTCAGCCCATGGAACATGACTGGAAAGAGGAGAAGCAGGATGAGGAAAGTAGGACCATGGGTGAAGGGCGGAGGCAAAGCGGGGAGACTTGGAAAGATAAGGAAGACGGAGAGATTCGACGACGACGTGTCAAAATCATCGTCGTGATACGTTGCATCCGCAACTCTCGACCCAACCTGTATGCGGGTGCCCCCGACCCAGAACGAAAAAGCACGTTGAGATGTGTTTCTCGACGCCTGGCTGAGGAAACCAACGGGTAATGAGACCGCCACTCCCAGGACCTCTCAAAGGGTGCGTTCTGACCAGGATTTCGAGGCGAGTCCAGCGGTGCCGACGAGGGCCTTCTAGGAATCCCAAGAAAAGGAAAACTAAGGGGGAAAGGCTGTGGTACCAGTTCCTTTTCCTCCTCTGACTGGCTGCCAAGGCCCGCTCCCCCAAATCCGCTCAAAACCGATGCCGAGACCACTCGTGGGCACCGTCCTGACCAGGTTGCCTTGGGCGCGAATTAACGATGGGCGATGGATGTGGGGGGGGGGGGAAATGTGCCCTCTTTGGACCCTACAGGCCACCTCTGGGGCCCTACAGGGTCTTTTCAGGGGCCCTTCCTTTCTGCAGCCCTCGCTGCTCCCTCCATCATCTCCCCACCACTACGCGCGGTCCAATTTTCGTTCTCCGAGCCGCGTCCAACCGCGGCGACTGGGAGGCGCCGAAAGGCCACGGCGTGCGAGCGAGCGCGCAGAACGGTGTCTGAGTATCGGGCCGGGCGAAAGGGGGGGATAGCAAAGGGGGGGGTGAGAATCAGCTCACGTAGCTGATTTTCCCGGCGACTCCCGGCGCCAGAGGCGGCTATGCATCGTGGAATGGGCCCCTCGGTCGGGCCGAAACCAGCTGCATGCAGCAGATTCCGTAACCCCCCCTTTCCCAATCCCCCCCTTTCGCCCGGCCCGAGAGTACATGAGCACCCGCTGCGTGTGATGGCTGAGCGCCGCAGGGGCGGCGGGAAGGGCGAGAGCCTGGGAGAGGGTTGGGCGCCTCACGATGACCCGGCCGCATCGCCCATGCATCGGCGATGTGTTGGCGATGCACCGGCGGCGTCGGCGATACATCGGTGACGCTGGCGTGGAAGAATTAGTGCCCCACACAGAACCGCATCGCAGATGCATCGCTGATGCATCGGCGATGCGGCGCGATCCTCCGACCACATCTACTACTCCGAACGAATCTAGGAGACCACTGAAATCGTGATTTTGTTCACAACGTCGATCCCCGTGGGTCTGGACCTCTTCCCTGGGACCTTTCCGTCCTGAGTCGTACTCTGACGGCCCCGAGGCCTGGTAAGGGCCCCTGGAGGCGAAAACTAAATCCGCGCGGAGCGCAACACATTTACGTTTTATGACGTTTCTCTTTCTCTTCTTCGACAGAGTCCACCAGTTGCGTCGGGGGCGCGCAAACATGGATTAGCGAACCATGGATTCGGCGCGCGGTCGCCAAAGCCATGGATCGGGGGAGGCGCCCTCCCCAATGTGCGGCTGGTGCCGCCTCGCTCGGCGGCGGACATCCGCGACTTCCCATGGCAACGGGACCCGTCGCTAATCCACGCCCCCGTGATCCATGAGACTGTTTTTTTTCGATGTTGGGTAACAATTGCTACCCGGGGGAGAAGGGGGGGGGTTTAGGCCGGCGGGTAACGCTAACGGCGGCCGCGGCGTGCGCCCAGCAGGGTGCGTCCGCGCCATCGGCAAATCAATTGTTATACTTGCTGAGAGGAGGGCTCCGCCCTCCACCCCCAAGAAACGTACGAGCGTTAGCGTCACCGTGGGGGGGGGGTATGGGCCCGGGCAACAGGCGTTCCCCGCCAGAGGGGGGGGGGGGGGGGAAACAAAAACAATACACAACAAAAACGTTCTCAACGTGCTTGCGATCGCCTGATGTTTCTCCTCCTCGACGGGATCCACCACGGGGCGGCCGCTGGCGCGCCCGCGGGTCCTCGAACTCCCCTGGGGCCTGCGCGCAGGCCAGGGGCGGCGACCTCGCGCAGAGGGGCGGCGACTTCACGTGGGACCTCGGCGGTGCCCCGCCCGCCCGGGGCGAGGCCCTGCTCCGCTCCCCCCTGGGCAGGGAGGGCAGGGATGGGGAGAGGAGAGGAGAGAGAGGGGAGGGGGGAGAGAAGAAACGAGGGGGAGAGCAGGAGGGGGCAAGGGGGGGAAGGGGTGGGAGGAGGGAAAGAGCGCGGGGCAGAGGAGGACACACACGGAGGAGGGTGGGGGGGGAGGGAGACGGGGGAGGTGTTCCAGCTGGTACGCGGTTCTGCGGCGCGACTCGTAAGAGACCCAAAGGGTTATGGGCCATCGTGGGCCTCAACTCCTACTCCTCATGCTGCACCTCCTCCTCCTCCTCCTCCTTGCTCTCCTCATCATCACCCCCCTACTCTCGTGGTTGCTCTCCACTAGTAGTGGTCTGTGCTTCACAGCGGTTTCGAAATCTGGAGTCTCGACAGATTGCCCCAGGGATTTGGCATCAACCACATGAGACATCCGCCTGCTTGCCTCTGGGCACGGAGTAAGCGTCCTCAGATCCTTCGCTCACTCTCCAGAGCCTCAGTCCTCACTCTTGGGGACCCTGTAAGGGGCCTGGAGTCTAAATGATTCATTATCCTGGGGCTTGCCGCGTCTCCTCGAGGCTTGTCGCACGACTTTTCGGGCCCAAAATGGCTTCAACACGAGCCACGAGGGCCCCTAGAGGGCCCCGAAAACGGTCCAAGAGGGTCCCGAGTCGCCGAATGATCGCTCCAAGACGTTCAAGATGGCCCCCAGACGGCCCAAGAGGCCTCCAAAATGCCCCAACTTGGATCGTGGCCCTGGTTGCTAAGTACATAGCGAATTTATATATGCTTATATGTAGGCAATATGTAATGTATGAGTTATGTATGAGTTACGTATATGTATGTATATGCGCCATATGTGCATACATGTTCTGGCTATGTGGATGGCGATGTTACTTATGCTGATTATCCAGCTTTGAAGTTACTAATGAGCGTATCGCTAACATGCTTAAACTTGTTGGGGTGGTTACGTATGCAGGTTAGCCGACTTAGGCTATCCAACTTAGTGAACTTAGTAAGCCAAGACATATCCAGGATACAACCTGGTCATTCCCAGGATACAAGCAGGATGGAACACGATATGTAAGTTCACGTTGCTTTTCTCCCACCGAAGCCGTTTCGGCTCAACCCTTTTCTGTGCGAGGATATGGAGATTGATCCTGAGATCCGTCAGGTGCTAGATACACTTGTGTCTTCGATCAATGCAGCGATTTCAGACGCCACTCACGGTGAGAGAAAACAATGTAGGGCGATTGCAGATCATGTGTGTGACAAATTGCTTTGTAATGGTTTGGCGTATTGGCAAACGGTGTGTCACGAACATGTATGGGCTCACCCTCAAAACCGATGGACGACTGGGGTCGATGCGCCTCACTGCCATGCGTTGATCAAGAAAATGATGAGACAAGGGTTCTTTGACAGCGAAGTCAAACACCCTCGGTGCTTCGAGCGGGCCCCAGGTGCAGCTGGTCAGCAGCAGCTGGAGTTCAATAAGAAATTACACGACAGGGCCGAGGGTTATCTCCCGCCAGCGCCGAAAAAACATGATATGAAATTTCTCGCAATGGCATGCAGCCACACTATGTACGGCCTCAAATGCATCAAGGCTGGTTGCAAAACCGACGTTGTGGATATAGCGCTGGACGGGCATATTTCAAAGGAACGGATCGTTTCTATATGTGAGAGTAATTCGGTTCCCTTGCAACGTGGAATAAAATTTCTTGTGATAAAATGGGAGGTCGACTCCACGATCCCAACGCTCGCGACGTTCCTTCAGATGTGTGGGAACGCAGGGCACGGTACGGAGAATGAGTTAACACAGGCGGCAACGCTGCTTCAAATCGATGGTATGGTTCGTACGTCAATTCAGGCTGGGATGGTGGCTTGAACCCCGACCACTCCACGCTGCGATCGGGTTTCGGTGAATACCCACGTGTATAAATCTGCATATATATATGTATGTATATATGCATACATGTGTGAAACTCGGTGGTCGGAGGGCCGCGCGCATCTGATGCTCGTGGAAGGGGCATGGGTTCAAAGCACCACCCAAGGATGGAAGTTCAGATGTTGATGTGGACAGTGTGGTGAGCCTGATAGAATTCACCAGGCCAGCCTTGGAAGGTCACGTTCGATCTATGACAATGTTCGCATGCAAACTCCGCGGTGAAGATGGAAAACGCATACGCGACCTAGAGCTCTACTACAGCACTTTGAAAGTTCGGAGAGTTGTGCCGCACAAGCTGTTTGAGATGATAGCTGGTGTATCTTGGGTACAGGGTCAATCGTACCTAGTTGCGATGGTGAAGGCGTTGTGGGCAGCCCCAGAAGCATTCGTCAGAGACGGCTTCTCCCGCATGTTGAACTCAACTGATCTGTCAGCTGTGGTTGGCTCCAAAAAATCTGCGTGCACCACTGCTGTGAAGTGGTTTGATGGCATTTGGAAGTGGTTCGAGACGCACGCTCCATCTTTCACCCCAGCTCAGAGGCGCGGCTCCTCGGCAATTTTGAAGTCAAGTGTATTATGATCTTTCATGGCAAGTCCCCGAAGGGCAAGCAGGCCTGGACATCCGATAGCATCCAGCAGGAGTTCCTCACCGAGTGCTTCAAGCTTGACAGCGATTTAAAGATGAAGGAGCTCCCGAACAAGTGGACGCACGTTGACGTCGCGACTGAGATCCAGCAGACATCGAGCCAACCATCGAGCCTGGTTCACGTCTCCAGCGGCACCGTCTCGTGTGACCAGCTCGCGCAGCTGGGTTTCGTGAAGGGCGCAGAAGTACAGCAACGAGATGGTTCGCCAGATGTGTATGTCATTGATGAGGCTGTGGGTCATCACTTTGTCTTGCGGAAGAAATCTGGCGCCCCTCCGATCAAGGTTTTACTTAAGGCACCTCAATCGGGGCTTCGAGTGCCAGCAGCCGCCATGAAGGACGAGTGGAAGGCCACCGCTTCGTTTTCTTGTATATGTGTGCGTTGCGGCTGCATATGTGGCAACATGCACATGCACCACGAGCACTATGTATTCAGCTGACATCAGACACGTAGCGTACATCATATCACACCAGAGCATGGCATGGCATTGCATAGAACCCAAGCTCACGCCGCACACCTAGCAACGCACAACACGAGACACTTCACCACAACATAAGTACACGACGCTTGGCATATACCTTACAATTCCTTGCAACGCAATGGCACGTATGTGAACATATGATGTGCTCCCGTGGCACGCTTACCTCCCAGCTCTGAGTTGCCGATGATATCGCATGTGCGTAGGTATGCGAACAACGGCAATACTTGCACCCACACATATTATATATAAGCATACGCGTGCACCCGAGGTGATACAGCCTCAAAATACCGACTTGTCCCCTAGAGTGTGTCACAAAAACACGCCGTTGGCGAGTGAGTGGGAAATCAAACGCACAATGCGAGCCCGTTGTTAATGACTATGCGTATACTTTGCATGGGTTTGGGCTGGACGCCCTCCCGTGCGTGCCGCTCCCAGGTGAATGAGGTGTTCATGGGGTACACGTACGACCCGACGCAAATGCCTTCTCCATTGGAGGGTGGGGGTTGTCATATTTGCATTGAAGCGTTCGCGTTGCAATCGAATTGTGGTTTCTAGTGCAGGTGTCGTGTATCGTTGGATCTGCGGCGCCGAACACAGAGGTAGTTGTAGTCGCGTTGTTGTTACACATGGTCTGCATGTTTCTTCATCCACGGGGGTGGCAAGAGCACAAGGATTTTGCCGCAGACCTCATCAAGTCCAGGGTGAAGGTTGCGCTATATTATGCGTGGGGCATGTGTTCCAAGTCACAGCATGCGTATGTTCGCACAGTAGTTGGAACGAAGATGCAATCTACAGTGCGCGCTTCTCGACGGTGCGAGAAAGGCGAGCTGGTTCTGATCCCCCTCACGCCCAACATCGGCATGGGGAGCGCAGTCCCCAGTTCGTGTGCTTCTGGACCTTACTGCTCCAGATGCTTCAGGCAAGCATGTAAAGCTGTGGCTGAACCCTAAGATTGATGTGGCAAATGCGAGTGGCAACACGGCCCTCGTGTACACCCAGGCACCATATGTGATCCCTTTTTGGTTTGTGGGTGTACCCCAGATAGTAAGATTGTCAACATGGCCAGGTGCGTGGTCCCGATCGTTGCCTCGGTCAGTTCGGACGGCGCTGGCAAAGTGACATCCTGCGCCAATGCGGAGCACGCCGTCCGCGTTCCGATATTGTATAACACTAAGGTCGTGGATGAGAATGACCAATTGTTTTGCTCCCCCGATCTTGAATCCTTGAAGCGGGGTATGCAGTATCAGTGTGGCGATGCCAAGAGGCAGAAGCTTTGAGAGAACTAACCCTTTCTCTTTCACTCACTCTCCATCTGATTCACCACCAGGCATGTTGTCCCAGACTCCCATTCGGCACTATGTGTCTCGAGTCCAGCCCATGCTCTGTTCCACGCATGGTGCGAGTAGGTTTGGGCTGCGATGCCCAATGAAGCCATTGCATATGTTCCGATCTTCGTTCAGGGGGGAGTATTGCGTTTATGCGCATCCAATACCATACTCAAGGTTTGCAACACCCTGGCTACACTACGAACGAGAGTGCCCATAGAAAGGGTATAATTCAATGAAGTCCCATACGAAACCAAATACGCAGACGCTACAACACAATACAAGACAACGCAATACCATTAGAAACACACACACACACAACCACGCATAGGGGTGACGGGGGGGGGGGGCGGACCCTCTGTCATGTTACCACGCATGCCAACACAATACAATGCAATGCAAGAGGGTACGGGGCAACGCATTACAAATTCAACATCAAGTGCCACTGCATATATACAGGGACAAATGCAAATGCAACTGCAACTGCAACACGAAACGTTACGTTACACCGCAGAGCACAACGCAACGCACACATGCCAGTGTAAAATTGTATTATACAA